TAATGCTGCAATAACTTTTCCTACCTTTGTACCAGCTCATTCTCTACAGAGCGATCAGACCAAGGTCTTTCCTTGACTGCTTGAGTCAGTGTTGTAAGGGCTGGTGCATTAACTTATTGAGGCATCAGCAAAGCTCAAAGTTGGATTTTTAAAAATAATCATTCTTATAATGCAATTGAGTGCAAGTAATTTAAGGTTCTCAAAATTGTAAAAATCTAATTCTAAAATGTTTTCAGAAGTTTTGTAAATCATTTAAAAACAGCAGGGCCTCTCAGAATGCTGTTGGTTACAAATTTATTTTACAAAGTATTTTGGATGAGGGTAAATGCGCACCATTTCTTATCCATCTTAAATATTTGTTGCACTGATTTTTTTCCTTTGAAACATGAAAATATGACCCTCATGTTCATACAAAGGTCAATGTTCAAGCAGAAAGTCTAAAGGTCTGGGATCTCACTTTAATCACAAGCGATGAAACAATGGCCAGAAAGTACACATGCATCAACAAGGTCTGATAAAAGCATTCAACAAGCACATTCTTCAAAAGTTATTTTATCATTTCATCTTAAAACAGATAGTATCTTCTAAGAAGGTCTGAAACCACTGTTTCTGGACATCTACGGTTTCAAATAAATCCCTTTTAATCTCACATTTTGCTTAAATTTGCTCTTTGATGGTGGCTGCAGGTGTCTTATCTTTCACTGTTTTCATCTGACGTTCAAAGAGCAGCCAACCTATCAATAAAACAATTGCTTCTGTCCATCCATCTGTCCACCCATTCTACAGCATTAACAGGTGTGATTCGCTTTGTAAAATGCTTTCAGTGCTTTATGTATGTGATCATCGCAAACAATGTAAACTCCAAGATCTCAGCAATAATTATCGGTCCTTTCTCCAATTTATATGCAAACTGGATGCAAACGTTTTTTAAAAAACACTGTGTTCTTGTTTGTTTGAATGCCCAAAAAGTTACTTTGAAATTAAGGGAAATCCCATTATAAACAAGGAATGAAAAGATCCCTATTTTTAGAAATTGGCCCATCTTCAAAATAAACATCCTAAAAATAGGTGACAGATTATCTTATTCTTCTGCATCTTCAAAGTTACTTCTCAACACTTCTGGTCCTGATGCACTTATTATTCCAATCCATGAAACTGATAATTTGGAGAAAGCAATTACTTGCTCAAGGTGTAACTGGTTGGTGTAGACTGACTGAATAGCTCATGCGACAAATATTAAGCTTGAATCTTGTTTAATTCACACTGAAATAGACAATAATATTGTATTGAAAAATTGTAAACAACCAAGAAATTATAGAGTCTAATTTGAGGTATTTAATAGAATTCCTCACTATAGAATTGTATTTCATATGTCTTAGCCAGCTGATACATGTGGAAATCTATTATCATATTTAAGACTGTCCAAACCAGATAGAGCTCTTTATGTGACACCTATACACAGAAATGTCTGTGTCGAGAAAGGATTGCAATGCACTCTTCCTGGAGGGACGCATCCTGCTTAACTAATTCCAGAGTGTATTTGGCACAGATTGGCAAGAGTCAAGGCTTAAGGACCCCAGAGTATGCTGTGGGGTATTCCTGAGGTTTAACCAGCTAAAACCACATTGCTTGCCATTTATAATTCTGCCTTCACTCTACTTGTTCAGGTACCCATTAAGGCTTTGGCTTGTAAGGATAAATGGAGCTGAGTAGGAAGGAATCCATGTCCCCAGTAGCTAGTATGTGCCTCTAGCCCTGCCAATGAGCCATACTGGCCGATATGTCATCAGCGGTGCCCTGGAGTACTGCTAATTGGTCATGTGAGGAGCTTTGGCAAATAGACATAACAGCCACAAAGCCGCCGGCACCTCCCGGGGCTGAGCAACAGGTCAATGTAGACCAGAGCTCTCCTTCCCTGAAGCTGCTTACCCAGTTTACCATGAATACATCTCATTGCAAACAGCCAGAGAAAATCCCCTCTTTTTCATGCCCAGTAGCTCAGAAGCATTGGGAACTGTCTCACTGCATTCAGAAGAACTTATTAGAACACATCTTTCCACCAAAAGTTTAACCTGCATTAGGATTTTACTGTCATTGGAACTGAATATGGAACTGAATGAAGAATCATTTAATCTAATTTGCAGTACTTCTTTAAAACCAACATATTTTGCCCAATGATTACAATTAGCTGTGCATCCTCACTGCAAAGAAATATAAAAAGGTCCAATGACAATCAAAGCTAAATGTAGAAAAAAGAAAAAAAATCACATTTTATTTAGAAATTGAAAACAATTATTTATTTAGCTAAAATGCATTTGTAGGCGAAGAATAAAGTATCTTGATTTGTTTGAAGAGCTGTATTCAAATTACATCAGGAGATTATTACTGAGATATGATACGATAGCTAAGTCTGGTCAGAAATATTGTTAATCTACACTGCTTTCTCGTGCAGGTGAAAATTACATAAACATTGAACTTGTTTTTCTAACTGTAATAATAAAATAATAATATTCCTTGCATTTGATATAGCGCTTTTCACTTCTTTTAGACATCTCAAAGCACTTCACAAAATATACTGTAAAGTGAATTGACTGTATATTTATAGGCGAAACTCGGCAGACAATTGCACACAGCAGTGTCCCACAAGCAGTCATGGATTGAAGTGAATAATTTTTTTTCTTCAGGAATTATTATCAGGTGTGTGGAGTAAGGAAACTTGCCCAAGGTTTCGCCCTGCCGGGAATCAAACCCAGGTCTCTCGCTTGCGAGGCAAGTGCTCTAACCACTGAGCTACGGACTCCACTGTATCCTTGAAATTCCTGGGAAACAGTTATGCAACTAAAGCAAAAATCATTACACTGTATCAAACACAAGATATCAAATGTTTTATGCTTGTGATGTGGTTTTAAAAAATATAAATATTTTGAGCTTAAGATGCGGTCAAATACATAAATTGAATGAAATATGGGCTCCCTCATTAGGAATGCTATTCCTTTACTATACAAGTAAGCTGCAGTGAGACAACGGCATTGTTCAGACTGTGGCAAAATTACCTGGTTTCACGCCATCCTTTATTTTTCAATATCTCAGGTGCATCACGATTATTTGGACAAAATAACCAAAAGCAAGGAAGACAGGTGGTGGCGGTAGAGAGGGAAACAACAACATTGATGAAACTGGCTCAGAACGACGCAAGCGCACACATTGAAAGAGAGGACAATTGCAGTTGAGCTTGTAAAGTCAGGTGGTTAGTAACGCATGCAATAACCAAATGCAGGCAGTATTTTACCTATTGCATTTGGTGCACACATTGTACATAGTTCAGGTTTTAGGGATGTTAGAAATTAGTGAGACAAATAGGAGAAATAAAATGAAAATTGATTTCCTTTCAAACTTGTTGAATTCCTGTTCATTCTTCACAATACGCTGCTTTTCCACTTGCAATCCCAGAACAACTTACTAATAAAGAATTGTTGCCCTGGGGAAACTCCCATCTCAGTAGTTCCAAATGAGGGTAGTGCCACATTCAAGAATTGTTGCTCAGTTTGTGGAACTTAGATAAGAGATAAAGCATCAGCATCTGTCGATGTTCATGATCAGGTTACACAGCATTATGCCTTGAGCTATATGTATGGAAGATGCAGGTTCTAATTCATCTGCTGCAGTGGACATAAAGCTCAAGTTAGCTGCCCTCAGATCTCCAATGCAAGCTCCGGCATCCTGCTTCTGATATCCCAACTTGGCCACCCAGCATGCTGAATCAACTCAGAATGGCATATGTGTTCTTTAACAAGCACTTCCCTCAGAGCTAACATCTTGTTGCTCACCCTTGGGTCGCAAACAAAGCCCCTTTGACATACGAATTGTCTTCCGAAATGGACTGAACTCTATTGCTGCCATTCTATTGCTGTAATCCAATATCCTCCTGCTCAGGTGACTGCAACAAGTGTAACATACAATGGCTTTCTCTCATTTGTCTTCCTCTAATACTAGTTTCAATTCTTCTATACCAGATCAGTAGTGATGATGAATACACAATAAGTAATTGTATTGGTGCTTGCAATTTGAGTTTGTGGTGCATTTGGGCAGGTGCAGCGAACAATATGTGGCTTGTGGCTAAGCTGGAAGGTACAAGTTTATGTGTAAAGAAAATTATGAATTTGGAAGAATATAAATTCACTTTCCGAATCTTTACATACTCTTAAATAAACACAATTCTACAATGATTAACAAAAAGCAACAGTTATAGTAAGTAACATGTTTGTCTGCAGTGTGTCCATTGCATTTTAAAAAGTAGCAAAGTAATTATTCTACAATGCCTCAAACAGAAATTACGCACGTCCCCAGCAGAGTCTACAGTGCTGATTTTCCATATCGTGAAGGGGCTCAGGGAGAAACAATAGCAGGACATTCTCCTCAACTGTAAAGTTTAAATCAGCAATGACGCCAACACGTTTACACTTTATCATTGTTTGCATTTCCTGTTTGTTGTAATGGTGAGTTGTGATTACTTTCTTTCTTCATTTTCAATCAAACTGCATTGATACTTAAATCCTTGGTTGATGTTTTTTTTCTCTCAAAACATCTAAAATTCAGTAAGAATGTCTTTCCAACCCATCTAGAATATAACCTTCAAAGTATTATTTGTCCTGCATCAACAGTCCATGCACCTGATGTAAAGACATGCTTTATTGCTCTCAGTAAACAACAAGCACATGAAGAGTTCGTAAATAAAACATACCTACAATTTAAACAAAATTAAAAAATAACCTCATTTTCACCCAGAAGCTCAGTTAAATGACTCTTGAATATGTCATAGTCAGAAGTGTTAAACAACACATTTCAAGCAGCTGTTCGGACCTTTCAAATAAACTTTTATATAGCAAGCCAAAGAACTTACTTATTACAAAACCGTAACTTACCACTTTCAAAATATTCTGAGACTGAAGAGATAACCTGCTGAATTCATATTTGCTTAGTTTAATCAATGTGCTGCCTACCTGCAGTTGCACATGGGTGAGAGGCATGCCCAAAGGGATCATTCTTCAGTGCTTTGTGTTGATAAATGAGGTGAGGTTTATTGTGCTCATCTTCATATTGATCTCCATCTGGTTTCATCAGAGGTTCCAGAAAATACTGTCCTTCATGTGTTTGAAAAGTGCCCATCTGTTACAAACAACAATAATAAAGATGTTTACAATAAGCTTACTTTAACTGAGTGAATGAACCACGTGAAAGAATGTTGCCCGAAACCATCTAATCACATTCAATATTTACTTATTTCAAACTACAAAAATACATTATTTACCACAATGGTATCACTTATACATATAAATGATACATGATGATTTCAAATGAGAACGTTGAAAAACAGGAACTCTCAGTGATCATCAACAACTCACATTTATATAGCACCCCTCACACAGGGTAACGTCCCAGAGCGCTTGAGCGTGGTGGAACGCATCGCCAAGCTGGGGGGAGGTGACCATATGCATGGTCGAATAGGTAGGTCTTCAGGCGCGACCTGAAGAAGGGGAAGGAAGGGGCATGGCGGAGCGAGAGAGGAAGAGTTGTTCCAGCGTTTCAGGGCATCAAGCAGAGGCAGCGGGTTGTTGGTTGGGGAAAAAGCAGGTCGGAGAGGTAGGCAGGTGCCAGGGCATGAAGGGATTTGAAAACGAGCGTGATCATGTCTACCTGAGACAGAATTCAGAATAGAACGTCACAAGAATTGCATCTCAAACGTTGTGAAAACTTTAGTGATGACTTTACTCTGCTACAGTTAAACACTTAGTCCATACCACCCAAAGTACACCCAGAACAATACTTTCAGATGCACTAAGATGACAGAACACCAGCTTGCAATTATATAGCGCTCCTTTATAAGAGGCCGGAAGTTTAGAGTTGCAAAGAGAAATTTCAGGACACAAATTAGTCAGTATTTTTTTCCCCCAGAGGTTAATTAATGACAGAACAGGTTATCAAGAAGGGTGGTTGAGGAGCGGATTTAGTATTTAGACTCTGGACTAATTTCAAAAGCAGCTTGATCAAATGGGCATCAGAGCCTACTTCACTCAAACCTCTCTTATGAACTCTATGTATCACCAGAACCTATATTAAGCCATCCAAAATCGTATCACTGGCAAGCCCGGGAATTATTCTGCATTCAAAGCAGAATATAAACAATTTGTTTAAGAACCACTGTGTATTGCTGCTCTAACAAACAGCACAATAAACTCATCTTAGAGCCATTCAATATCATTCACTATATTCCTCTAATATTAATTTGAAACAAAATGATAACCCATAGGCAGGGTAAAAAAATGAACACGGAAAATTCAATCATCCCAGCTGTTCTGAAGTGCCGTGAGGATACAGACAGCATGAGCTAAGTTTCATTATACGCACAGCAAGTTTCTTTAAATCCATTCACGACTAATTATATTTCTTGCTATGCTGCAGGAAATTAAACACCATATCACTTAAACTGCATTAGAAAATGTGAAAGTTGCTCAAGTTTTTAGGACTCAGTTTTCTTAGTCTGCAATCAACAAATGGTATTTGTATTCTTATAGTGCATCTCTCTTGCTGATTGAGAAGGACAAGAAAATATCTCGATACATCAAACCAACGCCTTGCAACCCCCCACCCCACCCCCCACCCACTTCATTATTGTAATTGTAACTGGGGAAGATATATATATTCTGCTTCAATTTGCAATTCCTCCCTCCAGTAATTGGGGAAGATATATACATTCTGCTTCAATTTGCAATTCCTCCCTCCAGTATAAATCAGTGTTTTTTTTCCAGTTTCTACTTTTGCATGAAAGGAACATTGATTCCTTGGAGAGCAACCTGAAAATGACAAAGCAGAAAGGACTGTTTAAGACGTAAAGGAGCTGATGAATAACAGTGTGAGACAGCATGTGGGCACACTTCAGGTACACAGATAGGAAATAGATGTGGGGCAAGTAACTACTGTATAACAATCTCATTAAAACATTCAAGTAAAGATGTGCCAGTTAGAAAGTTTCATTCTGCTTTAATTGGGGAATTATCTTAGGATGAAGGAAATTGAAACTTAAGTTTTGCATTACTGAATCAGTGACTTCAACCTTTCAATTACACGTAGGACAAAGTTTGTTCTTCTGAAGAATTCTTCAGCGGACTTCAAAGGCAACATTGTGGTGATGTCATCTGAAGCTGACAGGAGCCCCATTTTCCACTTTGGTCTCGCAATATTTTGGTTCCACTCCCACAATTACCCAGGTGTCCTGGTGTATAGTGATACCCAGATGTCAATTCAAAGTACAAAGCCAGGAGTACAGTTGATCCAATTATACGACAGGTTTTCAAACAAACCATGACTTTGCATCCTTTTATGTTCGATGTGAAGTTGCACATTATGTGCTACTTCCTCCCTCATTGTCTTTGTCAAACTGACAAGAAATAACCTAAAGATTAAATTACTTAATCCCACTCAGTCTATGGAATCCAACCACAACAATTCTCGTATTAAGGCTTTCTTAAAATCTAAAAACATTAAAGAATACTTCACGGGGGAGGGGGGAGAGAGAGGGGCATATTTACACAGCAATTCAATGGCTAATGTTCATTCTTCTATTTCAGCCCACACTCTCAAGTGGCTTCATAAACCTATTCTCAATTTCAATGTGGTGATGACGGGTGGGAGGAGGAGAGAATGAGAGTGAAATAAACTGCATAGAGTTAAGTGAAACATTAATGTAAAGAATACTAATGTAAGACCAACTTGGTTGTGCGGAGATAAAACAGCACTTGTTAGCTTTCAGTAAAAGCTGAATCTATAAATATCATGTACCAACAGAAACATGGACAATAATGTGGAAGTAATATATTAAATGTGAAAATAATTTATACAAAAACGACAGGCTGGGTAAGCAAATGGAAAGCTGCTGTTGCCCCTATATCATTTCTCTCTCCTCAAATTACAAAGTAAAAAAAAAGCCTTAGAAGGAATTCACAATGACAGAGTTGAATCACATGCAAGGGAGAAGGAAAAGGGGGAGATCATCACAGGTGAGTTCAAAAAGGTTTTAAGGCAGGATTTAAAGGGAGATGAGATTTAAAGGAGGTGAGATGGAAGGGAGGAAGGAGGGTGTTCCAGAGGTAAGTGGTTTGGTACCTAAAGACTCAGCCAATGATGGTAGCACAGAGAACACACTGCAGGCTCGAGTTAGCTGAGCACAGGACTCAGGTAGATGAGTAGGGTAGAAGATCAGCAAGACAGGGAAGTGTGAGGGTATGAAGAGATTTATAGATGTATTGTGCCTCAATCACATTTGAAGAAAAGAAAGCATACAATTTTAAGACAGAGAGGATAAGAAGTGCTGGACAATCAAGTTACAATAAACAACTGATACCACCTAGTCATCGTGTTCGGGAGGTGGGGTGGATGAGACCTTGGTTGACATGGAATATTAACTTTCACCACAATATATTGTAAAGCCAGGGTCACTCTGATCAGTTCCTTGAAAGCACAAAACCCAAATATCAAAGAAGTTCTTCAGCCCCATACATTGAAGCCACTTTTCAATCCCAAGAATAAACAATAATAATAATATAATAATCCTTGCATTTGATGTAGCGCTTTTCACGTCGGGAGGACATCCCAAAGCGCTTCACAGAACACACTGTAAAGTGAATTGACTGTATATTTGTGGGCGAACGTGGCAGCCAATTGCACACAGCAATGTCCCATAAACAGTCGTAGATTGAAAATGACCAATTTATTATTGTTTTTGGTTTTTGGAGGGATTATTATTAGGTGTGTGGAGTAAGGAAACTTGCCCAAGGTTTCGCCCTGCCTGGAATTGAACTCAGGTCTCTCACTTGCAAAGCGAGTGCTCTAACCACTGAGCTGCAGGACTCCACAAATGCCTAATAAATGACAAATAAATAACAATAAATGCCTTCAATTATGTGAGCCTCTTCCAGCAATCTGTGAGAGAGTTAACAGAAATAAGAAAATGCTATTTATCACCTCCCCTCCAAACACATAACCAACTCTGTCATAGATGCTCCTCAGTTGAATCTCTTGAAGGACCTGAAGAATGACCACCCTTGCATTTGATAAAATGCCAGAAATGTCAAAAAGAAGCAATTCACAGGCAACTGCTGTCAACTGCATTGATTATGTATTTTTGCAGACACGTTCTTCCACTAAAAACACAATCACTTAACTTTACGGTACTGTATATCATGTGAAGCACCTTGAGATGCCCTCCCGATGTGAAAGGCGCAATATCAAATGTGAGGATTATTATTATTAGATGGAAGCATCCAATTTATTCACAGCAATATCCCACAAACACCCAAAAAGTAAATGATGAATCTAATCGTAATGAATATTATTATTAATTGGTCATTCACCTCATGGCTGTTTGGCAATAAATAATTGCTATGTTTGCCATTAAAACAATTATGATACTGGACAGGAATTACTTATGAAGTGCTTTGAGATGGTTCATGTGACAGTTGCACACATGGAGTTTTCTTTTGCTTTCTTCATTGTTACAAATCAGAATGTACTTGAAACATGAAGCTCACTTTAACAACAGTTAGTCTTATTTTTCTTTTGCAGCTGGAACTCAAAGATGAATACATAGTATTTCACTACTGCTTTACAATAATCTCATTCCATTTTTCCAGCACAGCATTTAAAGTTACTACAACAAATTGTTCAACCCAAAACAACAACAAGATTACATTTGTATCGCGCCTTTCACGTCGGGAGGACATCCCAAGGCGCTGGACAGAGTACAGCATTTCAGACCTGAGCACCCTAAACCTGATACGATTCAAATGTGGCACATGAAAAAAAATCAAGTCTTGTCAGAAATTGACAAAGGGTTGAATCATGCAGCAGCAATGTTTGCTTTGTTAAATGCCTTATTTATCCAGTGCAGCACTTACAGCAATTTCAGACTAGTGGCTTCAGCAAAATCCACTTTACAATGTTTTTGAGATGCCACATTAGCTCATTGTTCCTCAAGTCAAATGTGTACTCTTAAATATTGACAAGTTGTTGAAATCCTTGTTTCATTTATAAACTGTTTACATTATTGGTGAATTGCAAGAATGTATCCACAATAATCTGAATCAGGACATTGCCCCACTAAACTTTATGGT